TTATTTTAAACACCACTGAGAGGTTGCTCTGAAACTGCCTGGCAAATCTCTGAGGAGCACAGAGATGCTCCTGTGCTCAGATACTCAGTGTTCATAGCAATTTCTTAGTGAAGGTTGACTGGATGTCACTATCTCCATCTGGTAAGGGAAAACATCATACAGATAGAATTTCTTTTTTTATATACAAGGCCTGACCTAGTGCTAGTGATGCTTAATTTAATCTTTTTTCAAGAAGCCTTTTTTCACTTCTATTCCATTTGTCTGATTCTTCCCTATTCTGAACTCTAAGAGCAGTATAAAAAAGATGTAAGAGAATCACTTAAATTTCTACACCTCTTTGGTACTTTTCTGTGCTGGTATGGAAAACTGTTTTGGTCCAAAGCAGCAGAGAATTATAACCTCTTCAGACTGATTTCAAAAGGCAAAGATGACTTTCCAACCTGAACTTCAGCAGCCACCTGTCAGCAAATCTGTCAGAGGCACGTCCTGTTTACTGCATTTTGAACAAAAACTCTTACACTGCACTGTGCAAATGGAACTTTATCTTTCTGCAGACTCAAGGGATGTTGCCTCCTTATTGAATGTGCCACTGACAGAGTTTCACTGCCCATGACCCTGTGAGGCAAATGCCTTCACAAGGGAACAGCTCCTCAGGCTGAGCCAAGGGCAGCATGTTCACAGTCTTGGTTGTCAGCAGGTGAACTGGGTGCACCCTTCAGGTGAAAACATGGGGCACCCCAATTACTGCCAGAGGCCAAGCTCACATTCTGCCTACAATAACATTGTTTGAAAGACAACAGAAACCTGACCTCAAGTAATTAAAGCATCTGAAGATGAAAGGATCTCCTATAGGTTTCAAAGCAGTGATCTTTGTCTGACTGAACCAATACCAAGACAGTTTTCAGCTGCCTGTCCTTGACTGTCTCCCTGTGTGTGGCTGAAGTTTCTCATCAGAAAACAGAATGAATTGCAGTCCTGAGATTAAAACACACTCTGTTTTATACTCTCTGGGATTTCATGTTACAAATGATTCACTCTGAAAATTATTGTGGAGTTCCTAGCTGGGAAAAGAAGGGACTGTGTGATTGAGGAGAGAAAGTGCGGGCATCTTGTTTTCAATGAGTCACTCAGATCCATTTTGAGTCCATACAATTCATATTTCTTTTCATAACCAGTCCCATATCATTTCAGAACAGTCCTGAAATGTGGCACAAAGCTTCTAGATTCAATCAACCACCAGAAACTCAATGTACAGTCACTGCCTTAGCTTCCTATCCTCAAGCAGCCACTATTTCAGGAAAATTAGGACACCCTCCTCTGCAGCACAGTAGAAACACTGTGCAGTTATAAACAAGGTAATAATGCAGAGATTATGGAGTTGGACACTATTAAGGAGATTAGCTCTAGTGCTGGTGACAAAAGTAATATGCAGAAAATACTGCTGTGTTGCAACACAAAATCCCTGCAAAAAGCAAGCTATATTCTAGCACATCAATGAAAAAGCACAATCAGTGCTTAGGTTTGGGTCTTTATGATGCTGAACAATAACATAATTTGCTTTCATTACCATTCATTGCTGTGTAATTGCCTTAATTTTCACAGAAAATCTGGGGATGAACAGAAGACATACTCACATTATCTGACTTAGTTCCCCCTTACTTTCTGATATTTTTCTCTCTTTTAAGCCCTGAAAACCAGCTCCAGTCATTTACTGTACAGGCAATTTGTCACTGCTGTGACAATAAACAATTTTTATCCTCACCAGATCCATTTTGCTGTGGTAACATTCATTTGCAGAAGGAGGATTTCTCAACTGCATCAATCTGAAAATCTCCCAAGAAAAGACATCTGCAAATCTTCCAAGGTTTATGATTCTCCTTGATGAAACAGTGGCTCAGGAACACAGCAGGATGAGCCATCCTGTGCCTTTTGAGATGTCTCATTACAATGTTTCAGATCTCAAGGACAAGTGAAACTTATGCAAGAAGTTTTATTGTGCATTTTCCAACCCTAAATAAGAGCACAAACAGGGGAAAAAAATCAAACCCAAGAAACCAAGAACTGAATTTTGGTAGATGTAGCTCCAAGGCCTGAACCTCTGAGTCAAGGCTGGATTCAGCTGGATGCAGGAATCTATTACTGAAGATAGCATCAACAAATTTGCTTTACAATTAGGTCCCACAGGGAAGTCAAAGATTAGGAGTTTAGGACTATCTTTCTGTTGGTGCTTTATATCATTCAGCTTATAATGTAACCAATCCTGGCAAATATTTGCCATTAGAGATTATATTAGCTGTTCCAGAAGTCATATTAATAGCACCAGTTCTTAAATAGGTTCACTACATCTTATGAGTTTCACTATCATTTGATATTTTTAAAGTTTGCCCACAAAGGGGGGTAATGCCACCTGACTGGAAAAGACTCAGAATACACAGCATCACTTTTTTTTTCTTTTCTCCTTTCTTTCAATCCAACTTTATGTGATTAATCAGATTCATGATTCCCAGCTTTCTACAAACTGCAAAGCAAAGGCATTACTATCATAAAAATCTACTTTTGCATAATCAGATAAGATTTAGCATGCCATTCATCTTCATTATACAGCTGATAAGCAATTCCCAAGTTGCATGGTTTACTTCTCCTGCATGCTGATTGGCTGGTATAGAAAGAAACATGTTTTGGAGCATCCTAATACGTCGATATAAATAAACAAGAGTTGAAATATAAAAAGGGTGGTATATAACTATTTAAGTACAGTATATACCTTGGAAAGATATATATGTCAGAAGCAGAAGTCTTCCCTTTTTTTCCCAAATATACCTTTATTTGAACTTCCCCTCGCTTATGCACAAAGCAGTTCATCTGACTAATGGGCATTTCAGAAGATGAAATGTGCAGACAAACTTCACATATTTCCTGGAACGCTGTGGGGGAAAAAAATGCAAAATTCACCATAAATATCTACAGAAAGAGAAGAGGCAACCTCAATATCCTGAAACCTCTTGACCCCAACTCCTCTCCAAAGTCTGTCTCGGGGTGCAGAGGGAAGAATAAAACTAAAAATTTCTGATAAACAAAATCTAACATATTAATGATTATGGAATCTATTCAATTTAATGTTACAAAATCTGATCTAGATACAATCAACATACAGCTGGATACTGAAAACTCAGGGAAAATCAGAGCAATATTCAGTGTAGCAGCACAGCAGAGGCAAAGTTAATCATTGCTATACATATAACTTTGGGCAAACCACCACAAAATTATTTCATTTTTTCATACACCTAAACTGTATAACAAGATAATTTAAACTCAAACAACAGCATTTACAAGACTATAATTAAAAAAAACTAATCCAATGCATCACTAAAAAGCAATTGCCCTCTATCAGCTTCAGTAAATACTCGTTTATCAGATTGTAAAATGTTTACTACTGAGAGCTGCTGGTTCAGGGGCTCTCTAGAATCATCACCATAAAGACTGCTTAGGTGAAAGGAACAGTGCTGAGTTTAAAAAAACACCCCAACTTTTGTTTTCAGTGTATTAAAATTGATGAATTACTATTTTTCTCTCAACTCACACAATACTGAATTACAAGATGCTCCTGCTCAAAATTCTTCCTTCACAGCACCTGTGAACATTTATTTCATCTCTCCAGAGACCTGTTACAGCCTTCCTGAGCTTTCCTTCCTGAGCTTTATTCTTCTGAAAACTTTGGAATTTAGCCTGAGGGGCTAGACAAATTTGGATGCTCTCACTCTTTTCTCAGTGGCTTTGCGCCTCTAAGTATGTGCTCCAGATAGAGGTTATTTTTAACCTCAATTAGTTTGCTGTATTAGCACAAGCAAGGATGTGACATAAGGTTGGGTAAGCAGACAAGTGCAGGGGAAATTCATAAACTAGTATTGCTCAAAAAAAATGAAGAAAAAAGAAAATATATGGTGGGGGGGGGGTGGATACACACACACACACTTCATCCACTTAACCTGTCATTCTCCTGCAATACCTTTCTTCCTTCCCAGGGTAATTTTCTGATCCAGTCCCTGGCTCAGGGATTAAAAAAAGGATCATTAGGCTGCACAAGTACAGGTGAACACAGAGCAGGATTTCCATGCACTTTAAACATCAGAACAGGTTTTCCTCCACACTTACACCTCTGCCTCTTAACCAAGGGCTGTATTTATCTGTGTTGTCAAGCCATAGCATATCTATGGCCAACAAGGAAATTAAATTTGCTTGCTAGAACACACATATATTCAGTTGTTTATTTTTTCTTTGTTTTCTTCTTTAATAGAAATAGAGCCCGTCAAGTTTGCCAGAAAGATCATTAGAATGAAATAACATACAGGAGATTATTGCAAAATATTTTTTTCTGGTTTCCCGTTCTTCCTACAGCAGCATTTATTCTGACATTGCCCCTCTGAATGATGGCAGATGTCTGGGGCCATGCAAGTCAGCTCTCATGGAAGAGGAACCAGTGACGTCAAGTCCAGGTATAATTAAAGTTTAACTTGTTCTATTTATGCAGGGTCTTGGTTCGAGATTTGACAAAGAAATTACCAAATTGCTTCTGGGTGATCTCTTCCTTCAATAACAAGGCCAACAGCAGTGGGCATTGCTCAAAGAGCAGCTCTGCCTCAAGAATTGAATTTAATCACAACCCTGGGTAGAAAGTGAACTCTCCTGCTGCTCTCACAGTCCCTCTCCAGAGCCTTGTCACTACAGTGAGCCTTGCATAACCAGCGCTCAGCGAGGCTCAGCACGTCCTCCCAGCACTGAGCATATGCTCGTGGGCTAAGGAAAAATCCTCCTCGAGGACTGCCTCTAACTCCCATCTGTTGACACCTACACACCCCTGCGCCCCAGCACTGACAGAGACAGCCCCTGCAGCTCATGTCAGAGGCTTTGTTGGGCTAGACTTGCTGCAAACACAACCCACACATGACAGCCAACCTCTCTAAACATTCACCCAGAGCACAGAAGCACCAGCAGTTACTCACCCACAACTTGCAGCATAAGGACACTTTTACAAGCTTTGCATGGAGCAGCTTTTCAGATGTGTTTTTTTCAAAGTGGGATTTTATGTTTCTTCTAGATACCTAACACACAACATCCATGCTAAAATTTCTGATTTGTGTGAAGTACTAATTTCCATCATGTACTATGAGCTTGTCTGAAGAGGGGGGGATATATTTATAGCCAGGATTACCAGCCAGTAGCTGAGCTGAAACCTTGGCAGGCATCCACTGAAGATGACAGTGATCCACTGAGCTGTGTTTACAAGGACGGGGCACAGGGGAAAGAAGTGACCACAGAAATACAGTTGAGGAGCAAAGCTACTGGATTTTGCTAATCTGATTATACCAAACAGCTCATTATAATGGTCTCTATTAAAAACTTTAAAAAGCATAAAACCATTTCTTCATGATACACCAATTCTAGTCAACTCTAGATCAAGTCCAGAAGAAAAATCCAAGATGTTTCTATCTCTCTACAACTTTATGAATTGGATTTCAGAATTAAAAGCAATTCTGTTTATTACCCTAAAATAATCTGTAGACTAAACTGGTCCCTGAAATGTGATCAGTGAATACTGTGCAGTGTTACAGAACCAGCAGAGAAAGAGGACAGCACTGGAAGGTGTAACAGCCTGCTAACACATACAGCTTTAAAAACATGAGAGGCAGGGGAAAATATCTTCCCAGACATTCCACCAACAATTAGAACTGTGCACTAAAAACAGCAATGCTACTCAGAGCCAAGAAAACTCAGCATCTGATTTTCTAAATTCATTCATTGTCATGTTCACTTTCATAAATGTTATTAATTTATAACTTATTAACTTGAGTGTTTTCTGAGTCACCAGTTACCAGTGATCCTGTATTTCAGTGGAAATACACAAAAAACAAGGTCAAATAAGGAGATGGACTAAAATCATGAGCAGAATTCCTCCTGAACAAGTGACCCCAAGGTTTGAAGCTTTTCTAGATACATCTATATTAGAGTTCCCTTCATGGATAAAAATCCCATTTCTACAGAAATACCAGGTTAAAGTTAAACCGTTATTACATCTTAAACTGTTATTTGTCATACTTTGCTATAGAACACATGATCCTCATTATTGTTAAACTTATTAACTGGTATTCCTGGCTGGTTTAAATTCAAAACATTCAAGCATGTAAAGCATGATCCCTTGTCTTTTTACAGATTATTAAACAAAAAAATGTTTTAAGAGCCCAGGATAAAAAAATCAAAACTCAATTTATATTCAGGATTTGATTTAGAACAATTAAAATCTAAATCACTAGTGCTAAAATTTGGAACATTAGAATAACTGCAATATGCTTAGACATTTCACTCAGTTGTGTTCAGTTTCTGTTTGAGACTCTTCCAAAGAAAACAACCATAGGTTTTACTGAACCAACCATATGATAGAAACAGGGACAGATGGAGAAGAGACTGTGGCAGTGCACTCACAGATGGAAGAGGTTGTAGACGATATAAGAAAGATATTTTACACCTCTCTGTATTTTCAGTAAACAGTGAAATAAGATACCAAAAGGCTATCACTGCTGGTGGTAGAAGTGACAGCTCCTATTTGCAAAACCATGCTAAAATCTATATTTGAACCATTTCACATTAAAGAAGTTTTAATTTCTGAAACACCCCCATTCCTGGTTGCCAGTAGATGAGTTTTAATAACTACAAGGAACAGTGGCTTAATCTAAACCAATACCAGATGAATTAGGGGCAGATTCCCAGAAATTCTCTAATCTGATTTCTCTCAAAGGCAGGAATGTCAACAGTACTGGCCAAAAAGTTATACATTCTCGAGAAGTTACACAAACAAAGAATTATTTCTTTAAATGAAGAGATTATGTGATCCCACAGGAGATTAATCAAAATGGTAAATTAGCTTATCTCAGCTACACAACAAAACAAAATATTTGCATTGCACCAGTTGTATAGTCTAATGTAATCTTTTTTTCTATGTCATTTTCCTAACCATACCTAAGATATTACTGGGAAAGGGTATGAAGAAGTTCTGTCACAAAACATCATGGAGAAAAAATTAACAAAAGCAAATGTGGCTCAAATTATGTTTACAGTAATGATTCTTTCCAGAAAAAATTTGTAATTATTAGTTTTTTGTTCATAAGAGAAAGAGAGCATTCATAAGAATATGAACACTTAGTAGTCTGAATACAGTGAAGCATTAACCCATAAATTTTCATGAGCATTCATTTTAGGCACCTCAGCAATCTTTAGATAATGTAGTATCCTTGTTTTAAGGAAAAAAAATCTATTTAACTTCCTAACTAAAAATGCAAAAATTCTGCAACTTTGAACTAAGATTCACTAAGCTTAATTTAAAAAAGAGTTGTAATTAATACAGATATATTTAATTTTAAATTAAAGCAACACTACTACGGTTAATGACATAAATATATGACACAAAAAGTACAAATTGTGTGGTCCCTCTATTTTTTTTCTAAGAGAACAGAACCTACTACCTGCTTGTACCTTTATCACAAAAGAGTATCTGCTGCAATAGCATCAGCTTTTATGCTTCACCTTCCTCTAGAAGGGAATTGTTATTTGCTGCAGTCTCTTGGCCAGCTTTTACCTTTACCCAGCTGCATTATTTAGTATCTACTCTAATCCCTACCTCTTGTCCTTGATTGCATTGTCCCTTATCCATCAGGGATGAATGTCAGGTTTTAAATATTTACAGATGTTTACACCAAGTGTCCAACTCTACTCAACGTTCAGAGAAAAGTGAATCCGATCAACTCTGAAGCACAATGGATTACAGGAGGGATCTCATATACTGAGCAAAACTCTGTTGACTATAATGCAAGAAACAAATTATAGCATCTCAGGTGGCTTCCAATGGTGCTGCTGAGGGCCACACATGATAGATATTTTCTACACAAGAAGCAAAAAGGAGCCTAAAGATTGTTCTTTCTCACAATTGTCAATCACCCTTCTCCTTCCTCATAAAATCTGTCAGCCATCCATAGGTACCTACCCCTACTCCTGTGAAATATGTTATTTTCATAACATTCCTCATGAATACAAGTTCTCCTGTGGAAGAGTATCACTGGATGGCAAAGTGCTCGTGGTGTATCATGATTTCAGTTTGATATCAGATTTGATGAATTTGATATCAGATTTTAGCTCCAACTTTGGCTGTGCCTACATGACCAAGCAGCAAGCTCCAACAGCAGCAGATTGGCAGAGCAAACCCAACACCCACAAAACACACACTTCCTAGGATTTACATTTTAGTTGTGCTGGTTTTGACTGGAATATAGTTGCCTTCCTTCACAGTGGCTGGTGTGGGGCTGTGCTTTGGATTTGTGCTGAGCACAGGGCTGGTAACAGAGATGTTTTTGTTATTGCTCAGCAGGGCTCACTCAGAGCCAAGGCCCTTCCTGCTTTTCCCAGGGCCAGGCTGGAGGGCTGAGGGGCACAGGAGGCTGTGAGGAGACACAGCCAGGACAGGTGACCCCCTGAGTACAGGGGCGTTCCAGACCAGCTGCCATCATGGCCAGAATATGGAGTGGGGGAAGAAGGAAGAAGGACAGGAGGGTTGGACATTTGGAGCAATGCCATTTGTCTTCCCAAGTCACCACTGCTCGTGACAGGGCACTGCCCTCCTTAGGAGGGCTGAACACCTGCCTGCCCCTGAAAAGCAGTGAATTAATTCCCTGTTTCGCTTTACTTGTGTGCACAGCTTTGCCACTCTTTACTAAACCTTTCCATTCCCGTTCCTTTATCTGAACCCATGAACTTTCTAACATTCACTCTACAGTCCTCTCTCCCAGTCCCACTGGTGGAGAGTGAGTGATCAGCTCTCTGGGGCTCAGCTGCTGCCTGGGGTTAAGACACAACAGCAGTTTAGTCCCATGGAACATCATACAAAATTATGAAAGTTTCATGTTTCATTTCATGATGTACAGCAAAGAATTGCAGTTTGGAAAGATCAGGAGATTAATTTCAAAAGTATAACCCGTCCAAATTAAAACTCTACCATAGGCATACACTTTGAAATCTTATTCCAGAAAATCTAGGGTTCCCATTCTTTACACTCTTAATATATGCTCCCTGTAGAACTTGCATAATTAATTAAATTTCAGATTGCCTTTCCTCTACTTAAAATTTCCTGTCTATCCAGAGGTGCTCAAGATCTGCTATAATAAATAAAGTGGAATATTTATTCCAGTTATTTCAGACATGTTTCTTAAATCTCATTTGCTTTGCTTTAGGGAATGAAATACAGATAAAAGCCACTCTGCATATTTTAGTGCAATTGAGTAGTGGCAGTTAATTTTTGGTTCATGTGTTCAGGTCCTTAAAGTTCTCCAAAACTGCCCAGCTTTTCAGGAGTTGAAATTGCAATCTGATATCATGTAATTTTAATTTATTTATGCTGCAGAGTTATACAGAATCACATTCAGTCAAGATTAGAAATAAAATAAACATTAAACAAATAACTGCAGTGGCCCCACCACTCTGATTACTGCTATAATATCAAGGGGGTTTGCTAAATAAGATTAGTAACTACCCTATCCCCCTCAGTAATACAGTAGATCCATCTTTTTGGAAAGATCAATATAACAAACTGAAAAACGTACCACTGAGAGGGGGAGGTGCAGAACATGAAGAGACTTGTTATTTCTCATTACATATTGAACAACCTATAACATAGAAAGCAGTATGAACAGCTGGATAAGTGTGCCTTTGTTTTGTCCTTTAAGTCTAGCCTCAAATAAAGTTGACTCACTTACAAATCTCCTTTCAGTATCATTTGTTCCAGAGTTGTCTCCTCTGCCAGGCACTCTCATTACAATAATCTCTTTTGATCAATTAGTGTAGCAAGTTTTTCCAACAATTGCAAACTATGTCCAAGCAATGCAAATTAATTTTTGTTATTTCTTATTCAAAAGGCATAATCCCAGGAGATAAATACTCAGTGCTTTGATCACCAATAGAAATAGCAAGAATTAAGCTTTTCATTTGTCCTTAATAAAAATATTTGTCTTACAAATCTTTAAAAATCAACATTTTAAAATAACATAGGATCCTATTCTTTGATTTATATTATGAAAGCAGTAACTAATTTTTGGAAACAATAAAGTTT